GTGCTAGGAGCGGGAGACGCACTACGCGGACGTTTCGCAACTGATGGATCTGCCCCACTTACAGACGAGAGAGGAGCAGAGACGCTGGCAGCACGAGAAGGTCCCGACAAGGGAGGAAGGGGATCCGACACGGCAGCTGTCACCAGCGCCAGTCGTCGACGAGCCAAATCCCGCTCCGATAAGCCACGATCGCGCTCCAGGACCAGCTGTTGCTGCTGAGTTTGGGCTGCAGCGAGTTGATCCCGGAGTTTTGCGGCGGTCGCATCGGCTTCTTTCAATTTGTCACCTGGATTGATAATAACGAGTGAATATGGGGTTGCTAGCAAGGTCATCGCAGCAAATCTACCTCTCTCAATTCATATAGTATCGCAGCAAACAGTGCGTAATCCTCAATGAACCTACTGTAGTAATTCAAACTGCCCAAGAAGGATTGCATCGCCCGTAACGACTGTGGGAAGGACAAGTCGGCTAACGAAGACAGGTCCTTAGGATTCGCCTCCAATCCCTCCTTGGAGACTCGATCGCCTAAGTAATCCACCTTGCGCATCCCCCAATAGCTCTTCACCACACTGATAGAGAGATTCCACTTAGTACACGCCTCCAGTAGGGATGTCACTCTTTCGCACAACTGATCCCACGATTCCGCCGGGATTAGAATGTCGTCGATATAAGATCTGCGTCCTAACACAGACGGGGTCCCAGGGTCCCCTGGCTCCCCCGCTTCGAATGGATCAGCTTCCGTGTGATCTTCCCCGGATCCACCCTTTTCGGGTTCCGGTATTCGGGTGAATCCATAGAGGGCGTTATCGATCAGGCGTGTTGTCAAGAAGGCGTCTCGTCCAGCTTCGGCATACCAGTGCAACCGGTTTCCAAGGACCCCGCGATGTTTACGGTAAGTCAATTGCGCAAACGGATGTATGCGCAAACAGATGATTGGACGAACAGGATGATTGGACGAGTCCATGATTGGATGCACCAAATGATTGGATGCAGACTAGGACGTAAGACAGAGTAAGCTCCAATAAATCAATCACTTTGCATTTTATCATCTAGTGCACAAACGACCTTCCTTTTGGTTATGAGCCCAAGCCCCGCAGACTCTGCCCAAGACTACGCCTACGCCATGGACGCCACTTCAACGACCGCCCGCATCAACAAGTTCGACGGAACCAACTTTCACACGTGGAGTTCAAGATGCAGATGGTGCTGTAGAGCGCGACCTGTGGGAGTCGTCAGTGGCGAACTGAAGATGGAGCACTGCGCTACCGCGTTGGACCAAGCGACGTTCAAGCAGAAGTCGCGCAAGGCGCTGGCGATTATCTGTCTCGCGATGGAGGATTTCGCAGCTGCCGTTGGTTCGGTCGGCGAATGGTGCGCATGATGCCTGGTCAAGGATGGAAGGACACTTCGAGAAGAAGAGTTTGGCGAACAAGCTCTTCCTTCGTCGACGTTTCTTCACCACGATGATGGAAAAAGGTGATGATGTGCTGGAGCACATCAACAAGATCAAGACGCTGGCGGAGCAGCTCGACGCAGTGGGCGCTCCGGTCAGCGAGGACGACTTGGTGATCACGCTTCTGGCAAGTCTAAGCGAGTCGTACCAGTTCCTCATCACGGCGTTGGAGTCGAGAGCTGACTCACTGTCGTGGGAACTAGTGACGGCTCGGCTGCTACATGAGGACATGAAGCGCAAAGAGCAAGGTGGCGGTGCGGACGGCGCCGCGCACGGTCAAGCGTTCATGACGAGTGACAACGGTAAGCGTAAGGGACGACAGGCGCCAAAGACAAGCGCGTGTCACTACTGCGGCGAACAAGGACATTGGATCGCCAAGTGTCCGGTGAGGATTCGTGAGAATGCGGAGCGACAGAGGCCGCAACGAGCAAACGTCGCGCGCGATGAAGAAGAATCGGGCGAGTTTCTCTTCTTGGTTGGTGGTGCGAGCAAGACCACCAAGTCAAGTGACAAGTGGCTGGTCGACTCGGGTGCGACGCAGCACATGACGTACTCGAAGGAGTACATGAAGAACTACAAGAAGATGTCTCCGGTGGACGTGCATCTCGCGGACGATGGTGTGGTTCAGGCAGTCGGGACCGGCGACATCGTGATGTCCATGAAGACTCCACGGGGGACCAAGAAGGGGTGTGCTCACGGATGTGTGGCACATTCCCAAGCTGTCACGCAACCTCTTCTCGGCTGGTCGCTTCACCAAGGATGTTGGTCCCGTGACGTTCGAGACGGATGGGTGTTTTGCGGAAGCAAAGGGTCTCAACTGGAAGCTCGGCGCGCGTGAAGGCAAAGGGCTGTTCAAGCTGTGCATGACACCAGCTGTGCCCGACGAGGCCAATGCGGCAAGCTCGAAGGATCGCAAAGGGGACACCACATCGTACCTCTGGCATCTTCGACTTGGTCACATTGGCCATGGCGGTCCAGACACCATCGTCACAAAGGACTACGGTGCAGGCATCAACATGACGTCGGTGAAACAGTGGGAGCTGTGCGACGGATGTGCACTCGACAAGCAAACGCGAGTGAGCTACATGTCCACGTCACCCAACCACGCCAAGAAACTGCTGGAAATCGGTCACAGTGATGTGTGTGGTCCCATGCAGACGTCGACATTCAGTGGCAAACGCTACTTTGTCACGTTCATCGACGAGTACTCGCACTTCTGTGTGGTGTATTTGCTCCGGAACAAGTCAGAAGTGGCCGACAAGTTTGCTGAGTTTGTCGCATTTGCGGAAACACAGACCGGCAAAGTCGTCAAGACGCTTCGTAGTGACAACGGTGGTGAGTTCACGTCGGGCGAGATGGCTAAGTTCTGCAAGCGTCGTGGTATCGTGCAGAAGTTTACGCCTCCGTACACGCCTCAACTAAACGGTGTCGCCGAGCGGGTGAACCGGACGCTGGTGGAATGTGCGCGCTGCATGTTGGAGCATGCTGGTTTGGCCAAGTCGTATTGGGGTGAAGCGGTAATGACCGCTGCGTTTCTACGTAACCGGTGTCCCACACGTGCCATCAGCCATGACAAGTCACCGCACCAAGTATGGACCGGTAAGAAACCACTGCTGGCGAACCTGAAGGTGTTCGGTTGCCATGCGTATGTGACGGTTCCGAAGCAGAAACGCACCAAATTGGACGCTCGAGCAGTGAAGTGTCGGTTTCTGGGGTACTCGGAACACGAGAAAGCGTATCGTTTCGAAGAGATCAAGAGCGGTCGTGTGCTAGTGAGCCGCGATGCGCAGTTCATGGAAGAGCTCTTCGAGGAAGGGAGACTCAGCCCACTTTGAAGATGACTTCGTGGAGCTTCAAGAAGAAGAAGTGACGGATCAAGAAGCATCGTCCGAGGATGAGACGATGGGAGACACTGCGCCGCGTCAAGAATTTGAGTCCGGCAGCAAGCGACACCAGCGAACGCAGTCGTTGGAGGAAGCGGTAGAGATCCCGCGGAGCAAGCGACAGAGTCGGCCGCAGACGCTGGAGGAGATGTCAGCGGTCGCAAGTGGTCGAGAAGAAGATTTCGAAGCGGCCTACGTTGTGGATTCAGTGGGAGAATTGCCGACTACGTTCAAGTCGGCGATGGAATCCAGCAACGCGGCCAAGTGGAAGGAAGCGTGCAACTCAGAAGTCGACTCTCTTCGCAAGAACAAGACATGGTCGTTGGTGCCATTGCCCCAAGGTCGAAAGGCAATCGGTTGTCGTTGGGTGTTTCGCATCAAGGAGAATCAAGCGGGAGAGATCGAGCGGTTCAAGGCACGACTCGTGGCCAAGGGATTTTCGCAGAAGTACGGCATTGACTACGAAGAAACCTTCGCGCCAGTCGCCAAGTTCACGTCGATCAGGATCCTGCTTAGTCTGGCGGCCAAGTACAATCTGACGGTGCACCAGATGGATGTCAAGACGGCGTTCCTAAACGGGCTGCTTGACGAAGATATCTACATGGTGCAACCGGATGGTTACACGGATGAAGAACATCCTGACCATGTCTGCCATCTCAAGCGCTCGCTCTACGGTCTTAAGCAGTCGCCACAAATGTGGAACCAGACCATTGACAAGTTCATGCTGGAGCTGGGGTTCAAGAAGTGTGAAGCCGATCACTGCATCTACGTCAAGTGGGATGACCAAGACATGATCTTCGTGGCTCTCTACGTCGATGATCTGGTCCTCGCCAGTAACAACGACGAGCTTCTCAAGTCGACGAAGAAGGCTTTGAGTGAACGCTTCGACATGACTGACTTGGGTCGTCTCAAGTACTTCCTAGGTATGGAGATCGATCAAGATGCGGCTACAGGAAAAGTGTCGGTGCGTC